CTGGTGGAGCGGGGCCAGAGGAGGCCCCAGAGATGCTGGGAGGGCTGGAGCCCCTCTGCTGGGAGGACAGGCTGGGAGAGTTGGGGGGGTTCAGCCTGGAGAAGAGAAGGCCACAAAGGGGAGAGCTCAGAGCCCCTTCCAGTGCCTGAAGGGGCTCCAGGAGAGATGGGGGGGACTCTGGATCGGGGAGGGGAGCCGTGGGACGAGGGGGAACAGGTTTAAACTGAAAGAGGGGAGATTTAGATGAGATCTGAGGAAGAACTTCTTGGCTGTGCGGGTGGTGATCCCCTGGGGCAGGTTGCCCCGAGAAGCTGTGGCTGCCCCATCCCTGGAGGTGTTCAAGGCCAGGTTGGACGGGGCTTGGGGCAACCTGGGCTGGGGGGAGGTGGCCCTGCCCAGGGCAGGGGGTGTACTGGGTGACCTTTAAAGGTGCCTTCCAACCTAAACCATTCTCTGATTCTGTGATTCTGTCCTCATTTCTGTCCAGTCCTGCTCCGCATCCTGGTTGCGTCCTGCGGTCAGGGTGTTGTCAGCACTGTGCTTCACAGCCGTTTGGAGCTGAGGACTCGCAGGATGGGATGCAGCTGGAGTGAATGCCAGGAGCCGGCTGGGGCCTTCAGCATCACACACGGCGTAGGGAATGGGGCATGTGACATCGCTGTGTTTGCGTGGTGCTGGGTGTGAAATAATACGCCCTTCTGAACACAAACTGCTGTTTCTGTAGAGTCAGAATTAGTCTGCAGACAGGATGAACTGCCAGCGAATGATTGCAATTCCTGTCTTTTTAGCCCAAGGATGTGCAACTCTGCCTGTTTTCTGCCGCGGCTCTCCACTCTACGCTGTCATTTCTTCACCACCACCGTACACCCGCAGCGTGCCCAAGTGTGGTGACAATTCCTGCCTCTGTACGGAGGCGCTTCTCGGGTGCTTTGCCTGAGCTCCTGCTTAGAGAAGGTTATCGGAGCTGTAGGAAGAATTCAAAGACAAACCACAGAAAAGCTCGTGGTGATGTCAAACCAAATGCCCACGTAACGCCGTATCCTGCTTTCAGTAGTCATCTCAGTCCTGTTGGGCTCACTAGAGCAGATTGAGATGTGACTTGATTACTGATTACTGCTGCTTGGAAAACCAGTGCCCAGAAGTGAGCGCTGCGCGAGGCCTTTCAGTCTGGTTGACAAAGCTTGAGGAGACGCAGTACGTGGAGGCTGAAGTTAGAGCAATTTAAACTTGAGAGGAGATGTAGTTTCCCAGCAGGGAGCGTAATTAAATGTTGGAATAGTTTATCTGGAGAGCTGGTGGACTTAGCACTGCTTGAAGCCTTTAAAATGAGATTAGTTATCTTCCTACAAGATATGCTTTAATCCAGCTTGTGTGTGTGTGTCGCTGTGTGCGTGTGTGTAGGGGATCGAGCTGGATGGATACGATGGTCTTTTCTCATGTAGAAATCTGTGAATTTGAGATCCCCTGTTCACTGTTTTTTCTCGGGGCCCCTGAGCAGAACAGCGCTGTGCTACCGCAGCACATGCGTCGTCACGGGGCTCAGCATTAAGACAGCAACCTTAATCAGATGTTGTGTGTCTTGGCTTTGGGTGGTTGTCTGTGTTGGGCAGAAAGGTTTTTTTCTCCTGGTACACAAATGGTAGGATGTTTTCTGAGGAATATTTTCAACTCACTCTGATGCCTCCAAGACTGATTGCAGCTGACGAAGCAGTCGCCACGGTAAGTGCACTGACATGATACAAATCCGCTAAGGTGACTCGCTCATATCCCTGTGCAATGCAGAGCACTGGATTTGGAGTCGGCAAAGAATCTGCCCTGCATTAAATTGGCAGGGACTTTGCAGTTTCGCCGCCTTTGGGGCTAGGGATGGGGCTGTTACTGGGGTCCACGGGGCTTCTCTCATCTAATACGTGCTTTGGGCAGCTGGAGATGGAGCACCTCAGAGTTTGCAGTTCTCTGCTGGAGTACAAACTAATCTTCAGAGGACATGGAGTCATAGAATCATGGAATAGTTAACAGTTGGAAGGGACCTTAAAGATCATCTGGTTCCACCTCCTGCCCTGGGCAGGGACACCTCCCACTAGACCAGGTTGCTCCAAGCCCGTGAGCTTTGGAGACCTGAATGCTTTGCTGTCGCACACCGGGAGTGTCTGGCCAAAACCAGACGGCCTGTGCTTAGAGCTCAAAGCAAGTGGTCCACGGCATCCTTGTGACCTGAGCTCCACCAAGGCGAGTGAGTGTGCTAATTTTTGTCCACTAGACGCACAGTCCTTACCCAGGATGAGAAAGAAGAAGTAGATAAAGGGGAGGAGGAGAAAAAAAAAAGATAAAATATCTCACGCTGCCTTGTACGTGGATACGTGCAGCACTCTGGTGGTGATTCAAAATAACCTCCAAAGTAGGAACAGACAGTGCAACTTGGAGCTAAATTAAGTAAGAATGGGGAAGGGGCTTGTATTTGTGAAACCTGTGGGATTCGGAGCTCAATGGATGACCGTACCCTGGTATTTAAGCCGTCAAAGAAGGCAACTTCACTGTAGTCAGAATTGGTTTTATTTTAGGTTGCGTGTGTTCCCATTGTAAACTCTGTTTTCAGAGGCACAGAATGTTGTCGGACTTTGCGGCTGCCTTATGGCCACCTAAGGCTTACTTTTTGTGGAACATGTGTGCAAGTGTGATGTTGTGCGTGCCCAGGGAGGTTGTGCAGTCTCCCTCCTCAGACATACTCAGAAACCATCCAGTCACAGTCCGGGGCGATGGGCTCTGGGTGGCCCTGCTTGAGCAGGGGGGTTGGACAGGAGGACCTCCGGAGGTCCCTTCCAGCCTCAGCCACACTGGGATGCTGTATTCGTTTTGTCAGTATTAAGAATTTGTCTCCGAGAGCTGTAAATCTTCAGAGATTTGGTGCAAAGATTGCCTAGAAGCAGAAGTTTTGTCCTCAATGAGAATTTGTTTGGTTATGCCTTCCAGAAGTACCTCTCATATGCCCAGATATTTCCGTGACACTTCCCTGCCACCCTCCTGTCCCCTGGATTTTCTTCGGAGACTGGTTGCAGTCTACCATTGAACCACTCGATCTGTGACATTCTGGCTCAGCTGTGTGGCTGCTGAGCTGTGGGGTGGTCCTGGCACAGCTTCGGTTATGCAAGGACTCTCCTGGAGAGCACCTAGGGAGCGGTGTGGGCTGGCACAGATGGGGTGCAGCTTGTGGGGGGACAGAGTTACAGTGTGTACGCAAAAGCTTAGTTGTGCCCCAGGGTCTCAGGACCAGGGGACAGTGGTGTTAGTGTGCACATTGTAGATGCCCCATCCCTGGAGGTGTTCAAGGCCAGGCTGGACGGGGCTTGGAGCAACCTGGGCTGGGGGGAGGTGTCCCTGCCCAGGGCAGAGGGTTGCAACAAGATGGTCTTTAATGTCCCCTCCAACCCAAACCATTCCATGATTCTGTGATCTCCAGAGGGACCTCTCTTGGGGCTGGGCGGGTGGCCGTGCCACTGCCGCAGGGTGGCCTTCCCATGGCAGAGCAGCACCTGGGCTGCTGTGTGCAGTGCAGCCCCATGGCTGGCACGTGTCGGGGTCCAGCATGCACCAGGAGAGAGGTCCACCCCACTGC